AAAATTTAAAACAAAGATTCTCTTAAATAATTCATACTGTAATCAAAAAATCTAAAAAATATATAAACACACTTATTTTTTACAGACATTTTAATTTCAAATTTAGACAAAATTTCATATTTAAACCAAGAATTACGATTTTAGTTATTTTGTTGTGATTGAATAATACTATTCGTGGGTACTTGAAACTTCTAAAGTGTACTATTATATATCTATGATAGTATCACGGTTTTTGTTGATGTATAACGCGTTATAAGTATCTAATGGATATTGTGATATGATTAATTTGGAATTTATTATAGGTACCTATTATAGGTCAATTTTTTGTTTAATACCATAGATATGTATATAATATGCCTTATACATAGACTGACATACCATCACCGCTCAGAATCGTTTTTCTTATACAATGATATTATATCATTGAATTCAAATTTAATACCATCCATTATACAGTGACCCACTTGTAACCTACTGTACAGCAGAGCGACACCCACTTGCCCACCTTTTTTTTTATATTTTTATATTTTTATTTATATTTTTGTGTCTGTCATCACGTTTTGGGACAGTAAAAGTGCTTCGATTTTCTTCAATAGTACCTTTTCTGATAGGAAAGTGAATCTAGTTGGTACTTTGGGGGGTCAAAAGTAAACATTTTCCAGTAGTTTTCACAAGCGCCGGGAAAAACAACATAAAAATTAAGGAAAAACGGGAATTTTTACGCAAAATCGATTTTCCAAAAAATCGAATTTGGTTTTTGGTGTAACTTTAAAACAAATGACCGTAGATACATGAAATTTTCACTGGTTGTTTATATTTGCATTTTCTATACACGATAACATTTTCAAAATATTTTGATTTATTTGGAACTGTTTAGGGACATTTTCATTTTTCATTTTTTTTTAGTTTTTTTTCTAGAAATATCAATAAAATTTTATTTGTTGGTTGCGAAAGCTTGAAAATTTAATAGAAGGCTCCTAATATGTTGTTTCAAAGGCAGATGAAAAATATTAAAAATCCTTAGTCACAATTTTTTTTTATAAGCATTTAAAGTTCAAAAATTGACAAAATATGGAAAAATCACGAAAATTAGCAAATTATTTTGAGTTAAGAATTCGTAAAAATTTTTCTTTTTAAATCTAAGATTTGAAAATGAAACACAAGATTCCTTATAAGATTATCTACCTTTATCAATAAAAAAATCTCTACCGGACAGTCAAATTAAATTTTTATGAGCGTTTGAAATTCAAATTTTTACAACATTGGATTTTCACTCGATTTCTCATGTAGCGATTTCCTTATTTTGTTGTAATTCAAAAACGAATAACTGTAGATACATGAAAATTTCACTGAATGTTTATATTAGCATTTCCTATACACCATACAATTTTGAAAAGATTTTGACTCTTTTTGAGCTGTTTACGGACATTTTCAGTTTTCAATTTTTTTAGTTTTTTTTTTTTTATAATTGTCAATAAAATTTTATTTGGTGGGCCAAAAAGTCTGAAAATTTAATACAAGCTTTCTTATATATTGTTACAATATCAGTTGAAAAATTTTAAAAATACATAGGCACGATTTTTTTTTATAAGCATTTAAAGTTGGAATTTTGACAAAATTTATCAAAATCTCGAAAATTATCAATCGTTGGAATTAAAAAATTATAAAATGTTCAGTTTTTATAGCTAAGGATTACAAATTCAACACAAAGGTTCTCATAAACAGTTCATACTATAACCAAAAAATCTAAAAAATATATGAACACACTTATTTTTTACAGACATTTTAAATTCAAATTTGGACGAAATTACATATTAAAAAACCTAGAATAACTATTTTAGTTATTTTGTTGTGATTGAATAATATTATTCGTGGGTACTTGAAACTTCTAAAGTGTACTATTATATATCTATAATAGTATCACGGTTTTTGTTGATGTATAACGCGTTATAAGTATCTAATGGATATTGTGATATGATTAATTTGGAATTTATTATAGGTAGGTACCTATTATAGGTCAATTTTTTGTTTAATACCATAAATATGTATATAATATGTCTGATACATAGACTGACATACCGTCACCGCTCAGAATCGTTTTTCTTATACAATGATATTTTATCATTGAATTCAAATTTAAAAGCATCCATTATACAGTGACCCACTTGTAACCTACTGTACAGCAGAGCGACATCCACTTACCCACCTTTGTTTAACACTGAAAATAAAAAGTTTAAAATTTGATTTGAATTTTTTTGGATATAATATTCAAAGCAGCCAATTTGTGAATCTGATTATAAGATTATAAGGAAAAACATTTATCAAAGTCAAGAAGTTTACTTTTTAGAATTTTTTTAAATATTAATATTTTTTTGATTAAATTAATTTGGAACGTAATAACTTTTTCAAAATATTTTTTTTGGAAATTTGCTGACATAGAGTATATTTCTTACAAATTATTTACTAATCATACAATTTTTGTCATACCTTTAAGTAGCATCGTTTTTTTTTTTTCGTCAAGTCTTTCTCTGTTACACCTTTTATAATATATAATATTATGTATGCCGTACAGCCGCCCTATCGCTCATTCGGCTTTGCACTAATCAAATCGTCTTTATCTCGCGGGCGTCGCTCGCACGTGGAAGGAGCAGTCGTCGACGCCATCCCTTCGCGTGGTATTGTATGACGTACGTATACTTGTTATTCCGGTTTCTCGGCGTTTTTTTTTTTTATTATTATTATTACCGTTCTTCGGCCCTTTTTTTCCCTCTCGCCGACCGTTCGATGGATATAATTCGGTTTTGATACGAATTTGATAACGTCGTACACCCGGTCCGCGTGTATAAGTCGATTTCGCCCCCGCGGCCCTTTTTGGGGTCGAACCGTTCGAACTCCGAGGCGGTAACTGCAGCACCGGCACTGCAGCCCGACTGGGGTGAATAATAATAACACGTTTAATTCTGGTGCCCGTAATTGCTTCGATTCGAAAACCGCCATAGAGAAGACCTCCCTTATCGCGTAGCTCAGAAACGATAAATTCCGGGTTTATCGTCCGCACGAAACCCTTGTACATTTGTGTCTGTTGCGTTAACACAATATACCTATGTATGTGTGTGTATATATACACACAGAGATGTACGGATAGATACAGACATATTATATAGTGTCTCCGCCGGAGTAATTTCGCCTGCAATATTAGAAAACCAGACGTAATGCGTCGTATTCGTGGTGTGAAGTCCAATAAAAACGTTTTTTTTGCGTTTTACATTTTTGCTTCAAAACGCGATTGTTTAATATATTTTGATAAACGCGCGGTATCGCTTCAACACGACTATTCTATATAGTTACTAAAAGTTTACCACCGAAAACAAAATTAATTAAGTCAAAATAAACTAATTAATAGTTTAATAACTTTTTCTCGGGGCAATAATAACTTACTATCCATACAGAGAAACACTCCTTAAATATTATTGATTTTAAAGTAAAATATAATTTTATGAAATGTATTCCAACGGTTCTCGATATTCTCTTTGAATATTATTGTATTCGACATTTGCAACCAATACTGTTTGTTTCAAAATCGTTCACAGAATAACTTCCCACTCGAAACTACGCGAGACGCTTTTTGTAACAACTAGAGTTTACACTTCTCTAATTATTTTTTTTGCCAGACATGTAGAACGAGCCTGTGGGGACCCTAGAGACTATTAACGACAGATTTATGGACTATACAATTTATCGGAAAGAAAATAGAGAAAGCGCATTAAATATCTACTGATACCAAAATTCTAATGGCCGGAAATTTATTGAAAGTGAAAACAGACACCTTGCCGGTGTAACAGGCGATTTTTACCCCCCTGTATATTTTACCGGGGGGGTAAAAATCGCCTGAGGTAAAATTTACAGGGGGGTAAAAATAGCCTTAGGTAAAAATCGCCTATCGTAACAGGCGATTTTTACCCACCTACAGATTTTACTGTAGGAGGTAAAAATCGCCTGAGGTAAACATCGCCTAACCTAACAGGCGATTTTTACCCCCCTGTATATTTTACTGTAGGAGGTCAAAATCGCCTGAGGTAAACATCGCCTAACCTAACGGGCGATTTTTACCCACCAACAAATTTTACCGTGTTGGTTAAAAATCACCTGGGGTAAAAATTGCCTAGCGTAACAATTAATTTTTACTTGCCTAACAAATTTTACCGTAGCTGGGGTAATTTTACTACCCACATAATTGTAGTCTCTTTTCTATGATAATATTTTATAATTCCTTTTAAAATAAAATTTTAAAATAATACAAATTCTGACTGGTAATCCCAAAGGTAATCCTGTGCACTGCTCACTTGAAACAGTATACCTTTATTCACGAAAATGTCCCCGATTTCAGATTTGTCCGTGCCCAATATATGCAATACATAATATAGGTAATAATACTGATAATATAAACATAATAATACTGAATATAGGTAGATAAATGATAAATGTATGTACCTACATATTTTTGTACAGAGAGTATTTTATATGCAAAAGTCCACCTATTAAGGTACCTATTCATGTTGTATGAATTAATAGACAAAGCGTCCTTGATACACCAAAAATCTTAAAATTAAATAATTATCTAAACATATTAACTACCTTGAAGAATACATAAGGGTATGAAATAAAATTAATAAAATAACGAATGATTCTGGCAATTTTTCTTTAAATTTGATGTTTAAATATAGGTACTAGCTTACTTTAGCTTACTTGTACACTTTATAACTTAATAAAAATATTTACATTATACAACATCTAGAACCACATCATAGTGTACATTACCTATGTTTCTTATATAAATGCATCGTTCTGTATGATAAATATATGTTTTTAAATTAAGGTTTTTATTAAAAAGTTGCCATGTATTTGTTGTTGTTGCATAAACATAAATTGATGTTTTTAACAATTGAGCTGCAGCAAAAATTTCAACATCAGTACCCCAAACACCTACAAAAAAATCATTTTTACATTACACAAAATGTTTTTAAAAATAAATATAAGAAATAATTAGTTCTTGATAATTCTATTGCATTTTTGGTTTTGTATTTGGAAAAGTTAGTATAATAAATCTTACCATCATTATCTATTTTATTTTTTTCTAAATAAATACTAATGTCATCGTCCCCGCCAATATAGTTGTTGATATTTTTATTAGTTTTAACCACCTAGAGTAATTTAAAACCAAATCGTATAAAAAAGTATTATTTAAATAGATACATTTTATTAAATGTGCATATTACGTACCTCAGCAATACGTTTACGTATTTCCATATGATTGTCTTCTGTTCCCGTTATCCAGTATGATAATGCCCTATATAGGCAATTACCATCTCCTATAATCTTTTTTGTTTCTGCTGGTTTGCTTAAAAATTTTCCTCTTCCTTTAAATTTCAGTACTTCAGTTAGGTTTAATTTTAACTGTGCGCATTTTAGAATCTGCCATGGTTTTGCAACTGGATTGAACACCCGACGACGTTTATCAACTACTGAAACGCTCGTACACACCACGTCATCATCATTATCGACCATATCATTAATTACTTGTTTTTCTTTATCTTCGTCTAATTCTCCTTCCATTATATTTGTTAGTCCTTTAAGTGTTATTTTTCCAACTTCTTCGACTTTTAACGTATTTAATTTTGTATACAACCCTCCGTTGAAGTCTTCATTAACTCCTTCATTCATATTTTCATCGTTTTCTCCTATTAATTTTTCTTCGACATTATTTTTTAAGTCAACTCCATTAGTGTTAGAAGATTCTTTAAAATATTTAAGGTTACTTAAATGTTGTTTTTTTGCTAAAATTTTGTGTTTGGATTTTAACGTACACGTATTTCCTTTGTTAATGGATACAATAGTATAAGGTCCTTCCCAAGGTACATATTTCCAGCCACCCTTTCGGTCATCTCTCCTTAAATTTCTTACCAAGACTTTATCATTTTCCTTAAATATATAGCCAGTGTTGTGCCGTTTTGCATATGACAGTCGTTGTCGTTTTTGAGCCTCTCCAATATTTTGTTTAGCGTGGTTTTCCATAACGTATTTCATTAACCTAGTTAAGTGGCTAAGTATTACGTTTCAATTCATATAAAACTCTGATAGGATATTATTTACTATTATTACTACAATATGAATATAAATTAAATATATTATATTTTAATTAATAGAAAATATACTTACGAAGTTACGACACAATATAACAGCACAATTATTCTAAATATGATAATTATATTTTAAAATAAAGTATATATCAAGGTACAGTATACACACCTAAATACAAAATACAAAATTAATTTAAAAATTATAGTTATTATTAAAGCTCAAAAAATACTTAAATACTTTTATAAATTACTTACCTTCTTTTGTACGTACGTCTTTTCTCAAAATCAATTAAAAAAATAATAAACACAAATTGAATACAGGTACATATTATTATTTTATTATTAGAACTATTCATATCTATACATTTTGCTATACGTGTATATTGTATTTTTTAAACAATTTTAAATAATATACAAATGGTTAGATTATGAATTCACGAATGTGCTTTATACACGATCTCCAAGAAATGCGAACAGAAATGTTTGCAATAATATAAGGTATTTGTTGATAATTTTAATATTGATATAATGCCTGTATGTAAAACCCACATACTTTTCGGGAATTTAGAATTTTCATTAATAACATTTTCAAAGATATAATCGACATGCTGACATATTTGATGCGTAATCAGGAATGTCTGACACAAAATCAATTGAAAAAAATCAGATACTCGAAAAGGGTCGAAAAATGTTTTTTCAATAAGTGTGTACACGTAATTATTACTACTGGAATAATATACAATGAATTGCAAAAAAATTAAAATCATGGTTATCCAAGCCGAAGCTGGTATCGCCCATTCAGACGTCATAAAATTAACATTTTTATTTTTAACTATTATAAAGGTTTGACTAATTATGGTTTTTAAATATTTTATACATTTAAGTTGTTTTTTTTTTAACCTCTTTCAAGTTTAAATCGATACACATTGCTTTTATTATACAAACATAAATCTTTAAATGAAAAAAAAAAAAAACAATTAATTATAAATGCATATAGGTCAAACTATTGTGTATAACTTTTATTTCTTCGCGGAATTACCAGTTTTAATTATTAAATAAGTTTCGTCCGGTTCCGATAAACAAAATAAAACAATGTTATCACGGGATGCTGGCCGCAAATATTACCGCAAAAGGTTCGGACCATCATCAATATAATAAAGGCGCTTTGAGATTCTTTAGGTGACGCCTGAACTCGTCCCGTCTGGACGAGTGCCGCTAATGACTTCAGAGAATTCGTGATATTCCAATTCCTTTAGCTACCCGTTGTTTTTGGAAGCCAAAATTCAATTTTATCCTCTGACCACCGGAATGTCGGACCTTTCAAAAACAATGAACATACTTGTATAATCCGGTGCAAAGGCTAAAGTGGTTGAGCGAAAATCTCGCAACAAATTTTTCTGTTTATCAGAAAAACAATGTACAAAATGATTTGGCTACAAGTCGTGATGCAGGCCAAAGGGAACAATTTATGATAAAATTCAAAAACCAAGCACGAAAAAAAAGAGAAATACCTACCTAATAGCTATTGTTCTGTGCTAATTATAGTGGCACTAATTTTTAATCCGATAATTTAAAGTCCCGTAAAATCTAGACGAAACGACAAGTACAACGACATTTTAAGCACATTATGCGTGCATAAGATATTACAGTAGGTAATTCTTACATTTTTTATAACACATAGTATAAAAAAGTGTATGCCTAACACCTAAATATTTTTAATTCATTAACACGATTAATAAATTGCTTTTATCTTAAAAGAATAATATAAATTACTTGACTAACTCGGATCAATTTGTTTCAATTTCATGTTAAAAATCTTATGGCATTACTGAAAAATGATTGCTCTAAAAACAAAATTAAATTACTTCATTTCAAGTTATTGAAAATAACTAATAAACATATACGAATGACAAACTGATTTTATGTAAACTTATGGTGTTATAGAATGGCTTATACTTTTTTATATTTTACTAATGATAACTAACTTCTATACGAATGAGTATAATTTTTTTCAGGACATTTAAAAATGTTAATGTAAAATAAAGTTTAGAGAGAATTAAATTTGTAAAGTAAATACTATGACAATATTTATTCAACCCTTAAATTCCAAGAACATAATATACACCTATAACACATTTACAGGATTGTTTTCATTATTTAAATGCTCTAACGTAAATTAACAATATAACTAGTACAATCCAACATAATATTATAGGTACCTAACTATACTTGGAATGCATTCTCTCCAAACGTACATTTTAATTAAATTGGAAAATAATTGCTAATATTAGCGAGTATAGATGATATAATTTTGTCAGTCTATCAAAATACTCCATCAAATCATATTGTATTTAAAAAGAACGTAAACATTCGATTGTGAAATTTATTGTTATTAAACACTTACAATCGAGATATTCTTACACAACTACATAATATTATATTATATTGTACGGGTGTATTATACAGTTTAAGAAACTAAACTAATATAATAAATAAATTGTTAATAATAATAATGACATAAAAAATTATTTATACTTCATATATTGCAGGTATATTTTTTATTTTAATACAATTTAAACTGAAACATTAATAATGTATTTTACGTAGTAGGTGGTTAATAAATTATTAAAACGTTCTATTATTTACGACACATACCTAATATTAAAATCTATTCATAATAATTAACGATTTAAAACCAAGAGGTTACAAAATGAATAAATTAATTTGATCTAGTTTAATGTCAAACTAAATTTAACACGTCTCATCAAAAGTGATGAGTGATGACCAAACTGACCTGATTTATTTATTTTAAGCGGACAGGTATTGCAAACCTCCCCAAATGCTGAGAAAAGGGATGAGAAGTGATGGAATGAAAAGGAAGGATGAGGTTAATGGTGAGAAGTGATAATTATATGAAACAGATTTTAAGTCTTATTATTACTATCGTATGGTATATTATAGTATGAGCAAGCAAATTATTACGTATTTTAGGTCTATTTTCATTCATATACCTAAATTTTAAATATTTTTTTTATAAGCTGTGAAATTCAATTACATTGAAGTAATTATGGAATCTTGACAAAAACTGAGCTTTTAATTAAAGTCGGTACATTTTAATGTCCTAACTAGACTAATATACTAAGTTATATTAGTTATGACCAATCATTCTACTTAATATTACACAGAAGTAGTTATACTAACCCAGTAACGATCCTACTCCCTTGAGTATGGCTAAATTAATTATTAATATTTTAACCTGCTGATGTCGACAAAACAAATTTAGTTAAAATTGAAAGTTACTTATTTTATTAGGTCAAAAAGGTTTATTTTTAACTTGATCATGTTTGGTATTAACACTTTCTCAAGAAGTTGTGATTTCGATAAGAAATTAAATTATAGTTTCCACTTTTTTCTTAAAAATTTAGAACAATGTAACAATAATCGATGGTTATTTTCCGATAGTTTAAATTTATTCAACCATTATATTATTTTAATCATTTATCCTTTAGCCGCCGTATTTGAAAACTATGCGGCACTTAAATTCACAGTCAGAATTTTGTTAAACAGTTATAATTTATAACTAAAGAATTAGTGAGTAATATATACACACGATTTAGAGGCACGTTATCACATCAAAAATATTATACATGCGAACTACAATAATATGTTCAACAGTTTTGAGCTGTGTATGATATGATTCATTATGAAACAAGCTAAGCTCACAAACATTGTGCAACGTAAGCACGTACTGCATAATTTACTCAATTGTGTGAATGCCTACATGAGATTTTTAGGATAGAATTACCTACTATAATTACCTAGGACTAATTTAGAACTATTTTTTTTTTTTAGAAAATTAGGTAAATTCATAATAACAATGAAAATATAGGAATAACAATTCGTTTTAAATATATGGTAGCATTGAAACATAGACTGAAAGTAAATGATTATCCAATGAGAAGAAAAGTTATTTCAGACAGAAGCTCCCCGCAAATGATTATCCAATGAAAAAATAAAGTTATTTTCAAACAAAAGACTTAGTAGGATCGAGTTAATTTGCCGTCCTAAAAGATTTCAAATATATACCGAGTTCAAAACCACTCGCCTCACCCCAATATCTCTGGGTCCGAGCACATAAAAACGCTGGCTTCCAGAACAAATAATTACAAGGGAGAAGAATAGTTTTCTACCAGTCCCAGAAAACTTTTCACTTATCGCTAAAACTTCTTTTTTTTTTTTTAAAGATCCTTCCACTTAATAAGTTCCCGACCAAGCAGTTATAATACTTGCATTCTGTTTTAACGTTGTTACAATTTCCGTTTATTATTGCCGTAACAAATAACGAAAATACTGCAGTCGTGTCCTCCGAATTTCTTTATACTTCACTCATACTTATTATTATTTTTTATATAATATACATTGTATTTGTGTACATTATACTGTCACCTGAACAGTTTCGTTAACGTTATATTATATTGTAATATATTGAAAGATTATTTTTAATTAAACTTTACACATCACTCATCTGGTATAATAATATTATTTAATATTTACTGCAGGATATTATTATTTATTACAATAGGGTAAATCGAAAGTACCAGTACCTGCAGTACTAGGAGATCTATGGAGATGAAATATTATACATTGTGTATTAAAATAAGTATAAGTAAACTTGGAGTGCATTGATTAGATAAATACCTATATATTATGTTTCTATCTTAATCATTATAGTATTAGGTACCTATAGTAAGTACTAAAGTTTGAGTAGTTAAACAAAATTAACAATCAAACACATTGTGTTGAGGTCGTATTTTACACAACTTTATAGCATCATGACTATAAAACAGATAACAAGATACATAAAATTCACAATATTCCGAGGTTAAGCGTGTATTAAAAGATTAGAGCACGTGAAACCCCTAAAGGATATATTGCTCATTTTTTAAT